ACAAATGGCTGGCACCCACCGCCCCAAAAAAAAGTTTCTGTAGGTTTGGAACTTGGAATCTATTTTCCAAATAAAAGCAATATTTTATATGATGGCTACAGTCCTTGGCTTCTGTGTGCCTGAAAGGAAATTTTTAGTAAGAAGAACCATGGGAGAAAATGCTACCTGAAGAACAGGGCACTGCCATGAGTAGGGCACCAAGTACCAGGGAAAGGAACTTTCTTAGCTCTAAACCATTGGGGCATGTCAAAATTCTCCTTCTGAAGTGAAGGAAACACAACTTCTGTTGGTTCTCTTTGGATTTTGGAGGCTGCATAACCCTCATTTGGGTGTGCTACTCTGGCCTATTTATCAAGCAACTCAAAAAGCTGCTAGTTTTGAGTGAGGCCCAGAACAAGAAAAGGCTCTGCAACAGGTTCAGGCTGCCATGCAAGCCACTCTGCCATTTGGGCCATATGATCCAGCTGATCCAATGGTGCTTGAGGTGTCAGTGGCAGATAGAGATGCTGTTTGGAGTCTTTGGTAGGCCCCTATAGGTGACTCACAGTGCAGACTCTTAGGATTTTGGAGCAAAACCCTGCCATCCTCTGCAGATAACTACTCTTCTTTTGAGAAACAGCTTTTGGCTTGTTACTGGGCATTAGTAGAGACTGAACACTTAACCATGGGCCACCAAGTAACCATGCAGCCTGAGCTACCCATCATGAACTGGGTCTTGTCTGACCACAGAGTCATAAAGTCAGACATGCACAGCAACACTCCATCATTAAATGGAAGGGGTATATATGAGATCAGCCCTGAGAAGGACCTGAAGGCACAAGTAAGTTGCATGAGGAAGTGGCCCAAATGCCCATGGTCTCCACTCCTGTCATATTACCTGCCTTTGTTCTGCATGATATGCAGGCACCACACAAAAGTGGACAGCAGCAGCATTACAACCCCTTTCTTGGACCTCTCTGAAGGACAGTGGTGAAGGGAAATCCTCCCAATGGGCAATACGTGGAGCAGTGCACCTGGTTGTTCACTTCGCTTGGAAGGAGAAATGGCCAGACGTACAATTGTATACGGATTCATGGGCTGTGGCCAATGGTTTGGCTGGATGGTCAGGGACTTAGAAGGAACATGATTGGAAAATTGGTGAAAAGGAGGTATGGGGAAGAGCTATGTGAATATACCTCTCTGAATGGGCCAAAGAAGTGAAGATATTTGTATCTCATGTGAATGCTTACCAAAGAGTAACCTCGGCAGAGGAGGATTTTAAGAATCAAGTGGATAGGATGAGAAGTTCTGTGGAAACCAGTCATCTCTTTTACCTAGCCACTCCCATCATTGTCCAACGGGCTTCTGAACAAAGTGGCCATGGTGGCAGGGATGGAGGTTATGCATGGGCCCAGCAACATGGACTTCCACTCACCAAGGCCAACTTGGCTACAGCCACTGCTGAGTGTCCAATCTGCCAGCAGCAGAGACCAACACTGAGTCCCTGATATGGTAACGTTCCTGGAGGTGATCAGCCAGCAACCTGGTGGCAGATTGATTACACCGGACCACTTCTATTGAAGAAAGGGCAGCATTTTGTTCTTACTGGAATAGACAGTCTGGATATGGATTTGCTTTCCCTGCACGCAATGCTTCTGCCAAAACTACCATCTGTGGTCTTACAGAATGCCTTATCCACCATCATGGTATCCCACACAGCATCATCTTGGATCAACGGACTCACTTCATAGCAAATGAAGTGCGGTAATGGGCCATGCTCATGGAATTCACTAGTCTTACCATGTTCCCCATCATCCTGAAGCAACTGGCTTGATAGAACAATGGAATAGCCTGGTAAAGACACAATTACAGTGTCAACTAGGTGGGAATACCTTGCAGAGTTAGGGCAGTGTTGTCCATGAGGCTGTATATGTGCTAATCCAGCATCCAGTATATGGTGCTCTTTCTCCCATAGCCAGAATTCATGGGTCCAGGAATCAAGGGGTAGACATGAGAGTGGCACCATTCACTATTACCCTAGTGACCCACTCAAAAAATTTTTGCTTCCTGTCCCTGCCACCTTATGCTCTATGAGTCTAGACATCTTAGTTCCAAAGGGAGAAGTGCTTCCACCTGCAGACACATCACTAATTCCACTGAACTGGAAATTAAGAATGCCACCTGACCACTTGGGGCTCCCCGTGCCTCTGGATCAGCAGGCAAAGAAGGGAGTTACCATATTGGCTGGTGTGATTGATCCTGATTCCAAGAGGAAATCAGATTGACATTAAATAATGAAGGTAAAGAAGAGTATGTCTGGAATACAGGAGATCCCTTAGGGCATCTCTTAGTACTACCATTCCCTGTGATTAAAGTCAATGGAAAACTAAAGCAACGCAATTCTGACATGACTGTTAATGAAGTCACCCTTCCAGGCAAAGTACCAGCTGAGGTGCTTACTGATGGTAAAGGGAATACAGAATGGGTGGTGTAAAAAGGTAGTTCTAAATACCAGCTGCAACTACACAACCAGTTGCAGAAACGATGACTATAATTGTTATGAGTATTTCTTCTTTGTATGTGTGCATCAAATATTTTTGTTCTCTTCACTTATAGAATATAAGATGAAAACTGGGCTAGTGCATTTTCGGTTGTTCACGTGTGAGTTGTATCATGTTACATGCATGTATGACTTTATAACTGTCTTTATTTAGAGATTATGTATGGTTTAAGGAAATGTATACATGTGCCAATTTGACAAAGGGTGGACTGTGATGGCTAAGGTTGTCTGTCAACTTGGTTGGTCCATGATTCTCAGTGGTCTGGCAGTTATGATGTAGTTTGCCAGTTATTTAATGATGTAATTTGGAAGTTATGTAATGATATAATCAACTCCATGATGACATCTGCTATGAGCAGCTAATCAGTTGAAAGGGAGTTTCCTTCGGGGTGTGCCCTGCCTTTAGTATATAAATGGATGTTTCAGCAAGGCTCTCACTCTGGATCCTGCATCCAGTTCATCATCATCTGATCTTCATTTCTTGGGACTTGAGCCAGCAGCTTACCTGCCGATCTTGGGATTCATCAGCCTCCGTAGCCTGTGACCCAGTGGCCTGCCATCTTACCTGCTTGTCTTGGGTTTGTCAGCCCCTGCAGCTACATGAATCAGGAGAAGCCTCCAGCATGATGCCTGACCCATGGACTTGGGTCTTGCTGGCCTCTACAATCACTGAGCCATTTCCTTGAGATAAATCTCTCTGTCTCTCTATATATACATATATATGTATGCATGTGTATATGTGTGTGTGTATATATATGTTGATGGTTCTAATTTTTCTTTACTGGTTTTATGGTCATGCTCTGAGTTGGTATGAAGAATCAGGGATCAAGAGAAGTGGCCCAACATTATGCTGAGTGAATTTAGTCAGTCACAGAAGGACAAATATTGTATAAGACCACTATTATAAGCATTCAAGAAAAGATTTAAACACAGAAGAAAACATTCTTTGATGGTTACGAGGGTGGGGAGGGAGGGTGAGGGTTATTCACTAACTAGATAGTAGACAAGAATTATCTTAGGTGAAGGGAAGGACAGCACACACTACAGGGGAAGTCAGCACAACTGGACTAAACCAAAGCTAAGAAGTTCCCTGAATACAATCAAACACTTTGAGGGACAGAGTAGCAGGGGTAGGAGTTTGGGGCCCATGCTTTCAGGGGACATCTAGGTCAATTGGCATAACAAAGCTTATTAAGAAAATGTTCCGCATCCTACTTTGGTGAGTGGTGTCTGGGGTCTTAAATTTTGCAAGCGGCCATCTAAGATGCATCAGTTGGTCCCAACTACCTGGAGTAAAGGAGAATGAAGAACACCAAAGACACAAGGAAAATATTAGCCCAAGAGACAGGAAGGGCCACATAAACCAGAGACTTCATCAGCCTGAGACCAGAAGAACTAGATGGTACCCGGCTACCACCAATAACCACCCTGACAGGGAAAACACAACAGAGTCCCTGATGGAGCAGGAGAAAGGTGGGATGCAGAACTCAAATTCTAGTAAAAAGACCAGACTTAATGGTCTTACTGAGACTGGAGGAATGCTGGAAAGCATGGCCCCAGATTATCTATCAGCCCAGAACTAAAACAATTTCCGAGGCCAACTCTTCAGACAAAGATTGGACTGAACTGTGGGACATAAAATGATACTTGTGAAGAGTGTGCTTCTTAGCTCAAGTAGATACATGGGTCCAAACGGGCAGTTTCTGTCCAGAGGTGAGTTGAGAAGGCAGAGAGGGTTGGGAGCTGGTTGAATGGACATGGGAAATCAGGGGTGGAAAGGAGGAGTGTGCTGTTACAGTATAGGGAGAGCAATTAGGGTCACATAACAATGTATGTGTAAATTTTTGTATAAGAGTTTAACTTGAAATGTAAACTTTCACTTAAACTACAACAATAAACAGGGGGAAAAAAAAAAGAAAAGTGGCCCAAGAATATAGATGTTTTCAATCTCTAGACTTACAAAAGAAAAAAAAAAATAGACCAAGGACAGCTTACTGCAATATTAGAAGACAGAAAAACTGTTCATAATCCTCATCCTTGTACTCTAATAGTAAAATGTAGCCTGTCATGAAACACACATATTCTTATATGCTATACATCAATAGAAAAACTTGACTCAATTTTTAGAACTTTTAATTTACAGGCAACGTTTTAGGGCTGCTGGTATTTTATACTGTGATAAAAGTCTGCCTACATAACGCTTGCTGATGTGATCTAGAGGTAAATTGCTCAGAAAATATTTAGTCTCACTGGTGTATGGTGTAGAAGGCTATCTTGGCTACCTCTCTCTGCAGCATAGCCTATAACGCAACACTAACATGAAAATGTTTTCTCTAAATTATAAAAAAATAAGAAAATATATTTGCATCCAATAAATTTCGTGTTCATCAGCTAATCCTCAGGCAAGTCCAAGTAAAGAGCACTACTTAAAATCAATCATTTATCCTCTTTTTCTCTGCAGTACATCTCTTCACACATTGAAGACTTTAAAAGTGAAATGTTTGAGCAACTCCTTAAGCACCTTTGCCACTGTGCGGAAGAGTTTCGGGAGGTCATAAAAGCTGACATGCGGAGGCACATGTTTGCTGAACTCTTCTTGTATTGTGACCGTGGGAAGGTAAGTTAAGGCCCTTAAAGCAGTGCTCTCATACTATTTGTGGTGAAGGATTGGTTTTAGGTTTGCTATTGGTGGTGGTGATGGAGTTAATTTCCAGTCCATTGTGGACTGATACTCCATTAAAATTAAAAATAGAAAAAGGACATGCAAGTACAGTCCACATTTTTTTTACTATCAGATTCAAATCTGAATTTTATCATATTACTTTCTCAAATTGCTATTTTTCTAGAAGCTCTTCTCAATTTCTATACTTATCTTATTGCAGACTGGTAGCACTCTGCAGACCATAGTTTGAGGGCATTGCCCTAAAGCATTTATAACTTGTCTCTAAATCCTTCTCTTTCCCATTCTCAAGTCAGTAGATTGCTTAAGATTGTTTCTGGTTCCTCGCTTTGCCAGTAGCTTCCTACAGAAAAGAGCTGCCTACCACATGTTGTTATGCTGCTTCCTAAAACCAAGAAGAGTTTATATCAAAAAGTATTTCTAATAATGGGGCTTGGGAGGACAGTGATTAAGAGCTGGCTGCTAACCAAAAGACTGGCAGTGCAAATCCACCAGCTGCTCCTTGGAAACCCTATGAGGCAGTTCTACTCTGTCCTATAGGGTCGCTATGAGTCAGAATCAACTCAACGGCAATGTGTTTGGTTTGGTGGTTTTGGGAGTACACCATTTAAGATACTAAATGTACTTGTAACAATGGATACAAACTTCACTGAAATATACTTGTATATTTATTTGTTTGTGTCCCGATGTTTCAGAAAGGATTTAAGGAATCTTACAAGAATACATAAAAATGCAACAAAAGAACATAAATTAAAAGTGGGATGGAAAAGTTTTACACACAGAAAAAACATTCTTTGATGGTTACAGGGAACGGAGGGGGAGGAAGGGTAAATTACTAAATATATAGAAGACGTGATAGTATTAGTGAAGGGGAAGGCAATACACCGTATGGGGGAAATCAGCACAACATGACAAACACAAAGGAAGACACTGAAAGGAACACAAGAACAAAGGGCAATCACAGCAATTACTATAATATAGATGCTCCTGCAACAATAGCATTAATAAGCAATAATTTACGATGGGGTATATAGATAGATAGATATACTAAAGAGGCATGGGAGGGTGTAAGGGAATGCATGCACCTGCAGATATAGGTTAGGTTATGGATATCTCTACATACATATTTGTAGATGTCGCATGTGTACTAATATAGACAATATAACACACAAGGGGCACAGTCGTGGAAACTTCGTATACCCAACCGAACACTTCCTGGAATGACGATATTAAACTTGAAGGCTAAGGACCATGGACTCGGGGGACAGCTATGTCGATTTGTATAACATAGTGCATAAAAACAGTCTTTTACATCCTACTTTGGTGAGTAGCATCTGGTGTCTTAAAAGCTTGCAAGCAGCCATCTAAGATATGACTAGTGGTCTCTTCCCATCTGAAGTAAAGGAGAGTGAAGAAAACCAAAGACTCGAGGGAGCAAGAGTCCAAAGAACTAGTGGACCACATACTCTCCGGCCTACACAACCCCAAGACCAGAAGAACTAGATGGTGCCCAGCTACCACTACTGACATTCTAACCAGGATCACAGTAGAGGGTCCCGGACAGAATGGGAGAAAAATGTAGAACAAAAATCAATTTCATAAAAAAAGACCAGACTTACTGGCCTGATAGAGACTAGAGGAACCCATGAGACTATGGCCTAAGACACCTTTCTGACTTGGAACTGCAGCCGTTCCTGGAAACCACCTTGTAGCCAAGCAATGACAGGCCTATAAAATAAACAATAACACCCAAAAAGAACATGCTCCATAGAACAAACAATTATACGAGACCAAAGGGACAGAATTTGCCCAAAAGTAAAGATGAGAAGGCAGGAAGGGGCAGGTAGACAAGATGAAAGGAAACGGGGAACCCAGGGTGGAAATGGGGAGAGTGTTCACACAGTGTGGACATTGCTACCAAAGTCATGGAACACTTTAGTACAATTTGTTGAATGGGAAACTAATTTGCTCTGTAAACTTTCACCTAAAACACAATTAAAAAAAAAAAAAAAAGTAGGACAAAAGAAGGAAAAATAAGAGAGAAGATACTAAATGAAGCTGGGAACTAAATGAAACTGGGTGCCAAAATGCATACCATAATGATCTAAATATTTTTTCTGGGTTGTCAACAAGTTTGATTCTAAGCTTCTTAGTAGTGAACATGAAATGTTTGTAAGGTAAATACAAACTGGTGAATAAGAATGAGTGCAGAATTTTGGAGTTTGAGATGAAGTTAAGAGTTTCTCCTGGGGTTCTAGTAAAGAGACACTGTGTGATGAAATGAGCATCCTTTATGCTTGATTTGCATAAATGAAATAATGACTTTCTTAGGGCAGTTTCTTATAACCTCCACAAGAGTAAGCTGATGATATTACACCTGTTCAGAAATTCAGAAAAAGCAATTTTGAAAGGAGCCAATATATTACAGTCTAGGTTCTCAGATTTCTGCTAATTTGACTTAAGTCAAGAATATATTTTATAAAATCTGAAATGTCTGTATGTCATTCCACCAACCCTCCTTGAATATAACAGAGCTTATAATAGAGATTTTACTCCCTGGTAAATACCTAGAGAACAGCTGTTTCTTTTGCCAATTTAATACCAACCCATGTGCCATACAAACAATGTTGGATAATATTTAGAGGAATTAACTGAGATTTCCTTGTGCACTTTGCTTTTCTCCTCATCATTCAAACAGTAATTATGCGCTGATCTTGGAGAGAAGGTAAATACAGCCTAAAATAAAGAAGTTAATTTAATTTCTGAATGAATTTTTTAAACCAGTGTCTTAGAGGAGAGTTCTGAAAACCTAGACTTTCGATTGAAAGAGTTGGGCTTATGATAAAGAAAAGAGAATCATAAAGTAAGGAAGAATGCAAAATTTGACATCAAAGCAGTTTTTCTACCACTGAGAAATTGTGACTGGCTGATGGGAGAAGGAGTTTGGAGGAGATGTGACTAGGGTTTAGAGGCTGTCTGGATCCTTAAGTCAGGGTTTAGTATCTGATTCCTTGATGTTAGGCCCCTATCAAGATTGGAGGATGAGGGCAACACTATGGATACTCTTAGAATTTCCAAGTGGGTTGAGGGAAATTTTAAGAACAGCAAGGGATTATGCTTCATTTCCTGGGTGTATCTCAGAGACTGCAAACTTCATAGAGAATATACGCAGTAATCAAAACAGCCTGGTACTGGTTCAATGACAGACACATACACCAATAGAATAGAATTGAGAACCCAGAAGTAAATCCATCCATCTATGGGCAGCTGGAGTGCTGGTAGTGCATAAGAGCTTGGCTCCTAACCAAAAGGTCAGCAGTTAAACCCTTTGAGGCAGTTCTACTCTTTCCTATAGGGTTGCTATGAGTCAGAATTGGGCAGCTGATCTTCAACAAAGTGGTGAAGTCCATTCAATGAGGAAGAACCAGTCTCTTTAACAAATGGTGATGGCAAAACTGGATATGCATTTGCAGAAAAATGAATCAGGATCCATACGTCACTCCATACACAAAAACAAACTCAAAATGGATCAAAGACCTAAATGTTAAAGCTAAAACTATAAGGTTCCTGGAAGAGAACATAGGGACAAAATTAGAGGTCCTAATTTTCAGCATAAATAGACTTTCAAACACAACTAAAAATGCACAAACAACAGAAGATAAATTAGATAACTGGGACCTCCTAAAAATTAAATACTTATGCTCATCAAAAGACTTGACCAAAAGAGTAAAAAGAGAACCTACATACTGGGAAAAAAATCTTTGGCAATGACATATCTATTAAGGAACTAATCCCTAAATATATAGAAAACTTCAATAACTCAGCAACAAAAAGACAAACAGTCCAATTAAAAGTTAGGCAAAGGATGTGAACAGACACTTCACCAAAAAGGACATTCAAATGGCCAACAAACACATGAAAAGATTCTTGTGATCATTAGCCATTAAACTAGTTGCCATCGAGTCTATTCTGATTCATAGTGACCCTATGGGACAGAGTAGAACTGCCCCATAGCGTTTCCAAGGAGTGGCTGGTGGATTCAAACTGCCGACATTTTGGTTAGCAGCTGAACGCTTAACCATTGTGCTACCAGGGCCCCCATTAGTCAGTAGAGAGATACATATCAAAACTACAATGAGATACCATCTCACCCCTACAAAAATGGCATTGATAAAAAAAAAAGAAAACAACAAATGCTGGCGAGGATGTGGGAAGACTGGAAACCTTAACCACTGCTGATGGGATTGTAAAATGGTACAAACACTATGGAAAACAGTATGGCGCTTCCTCAAAAAACTAGAGATAGAAATACCTTATGATCCAGCAATCCCGCTGCTAGGTATACATCTAGACATATAAGAGCAGTGACATGAATAGACATATGCACACCTATGTTCATTGCAGCATTATTCACAATAGCAAAAAGATGGAAACAACCTAAGTGCCCCTCAACGGATAAATGAATAAACAAAATGTAGTACATACAATGGAATATCATGCACCTGTAAAGAATAATGGGGAGTCCTTGAAGCATCTTATAGCATGGATGAATTTGGAGGACATTATGCTGAGTGAAATAAGTCCATCTCAACAGGACAAATATTGTATGATCACATTTTTATAAGAAGACAAGAATAGCTATATATACAGAGACAAACACTCATTGGTGGTTACCAGGGATAGGCAGGTGGGGGAGGAGGAAGCACTCTCGAGATAGTATGTACTTATTATTTTTGGTGATGGGAAAGTTAGCATCGAATGTGGGTGAAGTGCACACAAAATGACCAAGGTAAATGATGTCATTTAGTAGTGGACATGAGAAAAGGAAGTTTTTGATAAAGGACATGACAAATATAATTTTGCAACAACAACAACAAATGTGTGTGTTTACATAAATATGTATATAAGCATATATGTGTATAGGTATGAATACGTGGGTACATATGTGTGCACCACAGATAGATGAATCTATAAGCATAAGGCCAAGCTACACTGAAAGCACTGGCAAAAGACAAGTCTCCAGAAATTGACGGAATACCAATTGAGATGTTTCATCAAACAGAT